ATCAAGTTTTGACATTCGAGGAACTCTATACCGTGTTAACGCAAATCGAGGTACTTTCAAATTCTCGACCATTGCGCCCTTTGAGCTCTAATCCGAACGATCCATCAGTACTAACGCCTGGTCACTTCCTGACTCTAGAACTTACCTCTGTCTTGTCTGAAGATGATGTAACTCATCTAAAAGTGGGTCGCCTTAATACACTAACAATAACAAATGCACCAACACTTCTGGACGAGATGGAGACATGAGTACTTGCATACTTTGCATCAGAGGGAAAACTGGCTGCAACCCTCTGCTTCAATCGGAATTGGTGATAGGGTTCTTAGAACCACCTACATTTAAATGGCCACTCGGTAGAATTGTAGAGTTGCATTTCGGAAATTTTAAAACTGCGCGACTAGCAACAGTCTTAACTAAACAAGGAACCTTTAAACGATCGTTAGTTAAGCTATGTGCGTTGCCGTTTTCAGCCACGAGCACTAAATTTTGTTTTCTTTATTCGCAGGAGGATGTTCGGGATTCTCTTTCATAGTTCATAAGAAATATTTGGGTTATTTAAATCAAAGTAAGAGTATGTATGTCCGGAATTTTAGGTAGATAATTCCATAAAATGTAATTTTTTTCTTTCTGGGCATTTTATTGAAGGCAACTTTTATTTCCGCGATAATTAATATTCTCGCGGGATCGCTATGTGCGATTTTTTTTTACCTTTTGAGCCGGCACCTCACGACCTGTGGCCAGGCGTGCTAAAGACAACCGGCCTAATTTAACGCACACGAAAAGTTTGGATTACCACTACACCAACACTGGTAAGAGTCGTGCTCAAAACTCGCCCTTCGTATACCGATCCAAAACCCTCAGAGGTAAAATCCCCAACAGAGATCTAGAATTTTACTCTAGTCGGTACGATGTCATGGCGTAGTCGGTAATAAAATGCTAGAGAGAATAAAATAGCTTGTTTATTTATCTTGTTTCCACTTATACTTTCACAGATGTTGTTCCACCTCAAATCTCTATCTGATCAATGCAACACAATCGTCACTAACGATCACGATTATATTACTTGGGAGTAAAAGAAACAGAATCAGTTGTACTTGAAATTTATTAATTTAACTAGTACGCCCATTCTCAGAGATGGATGGATGGATTCATGTATTTTATATGTAATAATAGATCAGGTTGTTCCTTAATGATCTCCGAATATTTAAGTAAAAAGTCATGATAATTTGTTAAGTAAATTATTGTCCAAAAACTCTGTGCAAGCAATAAAAATTTAAACAATACCAAAAAAAATCTGAAAATTAGAAAAAATATAGAGTATATATAGAAGTAAACCATATTTGGATTGTATTTACGATGAAACATCTTCATCATAAAAGCCAAAATTGGAACTGCTATTACTAGAAAATGATTTTTCGTCTGCATTAAGTGGTGGAACTGTTATATCAAGTGTATTCTCCTTTTCTCAGTATTCATTTATTATATTTTCTATATGTGTTATACAATTCATCCTATTTTCTTTTGGTAAGTGGCTGGAGAGCTGTCTTCCAAACAGATGCTACTGCAGTGTCATTGTGCCTTACCTCATTTACAATATTTTTATTAAAATATGCCTAATTACCCACCGATCAAGCGTGCGGGAAGAGTCACCTTACCATGTCAGTTTGGTTTCCCACGGATCCGAGCCACTGCGCTGCGCTCCGCTCGTGTCAAATAAACTCCCGAGTCAAATGCTGTTTACCGCACTTGTTGCATAATATACTATTGAGCGAGCGTTTAATAAACGAGTGACTTAAAAATTTACCGAACGTGTTGCATACTATACTTTTTCTACGACCATTAGTTTTTGGGTATATTTTCGCAAAACAACACGAATGCATTCACTAACATGACCGTCAGAATTGATAAACGTCAAAATTCAAAGGGTGGTAAATATTTCCGAAAACATCCGACTGCTCCCAAACCCGTGCGGTAATATCCCGGAAATGTCCGAAGTGGCTCGCATCCGTGGGAAACGAAACTGACTTGGTAAAATGACGCTTCCCTTACGCTAGATCGGTGTGTAATTAGGTATTTTACAGACAGGAGTAGAAAATTTTTTTTTCACTGAACCCAAATCAATTCTATGGAATTAAATATACAATGGTAAGGAGGCAATCTTAAAACTGGATGACCGATTGCAGCAATTATTTCGCCTGTAGCATACGGCAAGTTTGTTTTGTAATTTTTGATAATTTTGAACTCACATTTTAGCTCATTTTCTCGGTAGTTAATCCGTTTACTGCGCAGTAATTATCGGGTAATTGGTGCCTTCTCTGTCGAGTCTAGGACATTGGGGCGTAATAGACAAAGGTAATAAGCAGGTAAATGGATGGGTTTTACCAACCTTAGTATACGAAATACGAACGCACCTTCTCTCTTGTTTTTATGACCGACTATGCCGTCGGAAATTGTACCGATTATATATTTATAATATTATCTTCCTCATTGGGATCACTTCTCGGGTTTTCAAAAGTGCTTTAGCAATTTTGGAATTTCTGCGTGAATTCTAATAATTACGTAACATATGGCGTTTCTCCACATTTTAAAAAATCATTTTTATTACAAAGTATACAATTATATACAACATTAAAATGTAGTTGCCACATTAATAATTAACAACTACGTCAAGAACGTTTGACATAAATATATATGTTACATAGTCATAGAGTAAAATTTGGCTTTGTTGTCAAATGTAGGACCGTATTAAAAAAAATAAGTGGATGATGGACACACAACACCGAAACGTCATACCGAAAACTTAATAATGCCAGTTTGAAGGGGAGAGAAAGTTGCAATGAAAACTTGTCATTTGTGTTCTTTTTTTAACTGAAGCCGAGAAAGAATTCAAAAGAAATTACTGATTTTTGGTTTTCCGGATAGTTCCGGAACTAATCGGAATTTTCTTGATTTTGAAACAATATTTATTGGTCTTACTGAACTCCAAGGAGACGGTTTTCATATTTTTTAAAGTTAGTAATACTGTTTCGAGTTGCGTCCTTTGCATTATGCCTGTAGTTTCCTTTTAGCAATTTTGTAAGTTAGTGCATTTGCCCTGTGAGGTACAACTGTTTCCGAAACAACTATAATGATACCGCTTGTACAGGGTGAGTCTACGCTATCGGTTCTACCAAACTGCTGCCTATTATGTAAATATGAGATAGCGATCGACCGATGATTCCATAGCGATTTAGTTTAGTACAGAGTAACTCATGAATGCTTCTTAAAAGTCGAGTAAGACAAGTATTTTTGAAACCTTTTTATCTAAATTTTTTATTATTACATACTAATATACGCAGTAAAGCAGTAAGCGCGCTGTGATTTGGTAAAGTTCATTATCTCATTGTTTTTTAAAGTTATGAGAAAATGGTACATACACATGTTTGAAAAATTGTTAGGATACACAATTTAAAATTATTTCAAAGTATATAGGGCTACTTCAAAAAACACGACGAAGAAAATATCTTTGTTTTTTCTATTTCTAAATTTTTTCCAATATTTCAATTCTATTTCAATTTTACTAAAAGATGCTATTATTCACACTTGCAAAAAGGATACATAGCGCCATTATTTTTGAAGGTGATATTATTGTTATTCTAAGATGACTTGAAAGATATATTTGGATCATTTTAAATTGAAAAATCTTGATTTTCTTAAATGGGACAGTGTATATATATATATATATATATATATATATATATATATATATATATATATATATATATATATATATATATCATCCGTTCGCTCTTTGAACTCCGACTGGAATCCTGCATCCGACTGGAATCCTGCAAATCTTGCATCCGACTGGAATCCTGCAGACGTTTCGCCAAAATCTCACTTGGCATCTTCAATGCTCGCGCTCCGAAAACACTTCGAACACTGGGAGTGTTTTCGGAGCGCGAGCATTGAAGATGCCAAGTGAGATTTTGGCGAAACGTCTGCAGGATTCCAGTCGGATGCAAGATTTGCAGGATTCCAGTCGGAGTTCAAAGAGCGAACGGATGATATCCCGGAATATAGTGTCATCACATTTTTCCATCCGTGAATCAATACGTGAGAATATATATATATATATATATATATATATATATATATATATATATATATATATATATATATATATATATATATATATATATATATATATATATATATATATATATATATATATATGTATGTTTATATTATTTTTTCTGAAAGTTCTTACAAAAACCTATAACTTTTATTAAGCATTTCATGTATTTTATTTTAACTTTTCCTTCTTTATGTCTAAAACATTTTCAAAATTTTACCTGACAACTGAGTAAATAAATTCTTAACATTTATTGTGGTGTCAGTAAATTTAAACAAAAGCTAAGTATAGAAAAGTTAAAATAAATCGCAAAGTATTAAAAGTATGTATGTAAAAAATATATTTGTTTATTTTGAACACCCTATAGCACCTAGTTCAATTTCCATTGCATATACTTCGCCAGTCATCTTCGAATAATGTTAATATCAAATATGAGTGATCAAAAGAAGTCAAAAGTTGTATTTTTGCAGTAAATTGAAAATATTGGAAAAACTATTAGGTTTAGGTATGCATTGTTGTCAATAAATAAGGTGAAGACTTTTAAAAGGATTTCGAAACAAAATTTAAAAGTAGGGTGATTATTTTGTGAGTCACCCTGTATAGTTTAAAATTATATTATATTGTGCATCCCAACAATTTTTACGACTTGAGATAACGAACTTACTCTATCATTGACTCACCTCGTAGAAAGCTTTCAAAGTCTTTGCTCTTGAGCCCTTAACACCAGCACTTTTTCTATACCACGACACGACACTGCTGTCTCACGTATGCCACAGAAATCCTCCATATGCAGATGCACAAATAAAAAATCACTTGAAATTCCTTGTAACACGAAACCATTTGAAAGTACAGTCACCGCGATTTATTTTAAATTATTATATACGGAAATAACAAAGAAAGCAGAATCCTTTGTACGCAAAACTTTAATTTTTGAAAGCCCATGGCGATATCAAACCCACATTTTTTCGCTTTTTGTAATACAGCTTAATCTTTAAATACTACATAACAATAAATTATTTATAATTTTGGAGTGGATCTTTGGACTTTAGCGTATTTGAGGTGGTCCATTTCTCCGAGCACGCCAAGTGTAGATCTCACGAAACACGTTATTTTATTTTACATTCAGATTGTCGAAAGAATCGAATCGCCCAAATCACAGAAAGAATATCGACAGCGTTGCAGCTAGCACAACTAGCGACAGGCCGTAAATATTGCTGGAATTGTTTGGATTTTCGGTAGTTCCGGGTTCTTCAGTTTCAGGGGAAGAAGGAGGTTGTGTGGTCGGTGCGTTAGTAGTTGGCGCGTTAGTAGTTGGGGTGTTAGTAGTTGGGGTGTTAGTAGTTGGGGTGTTAGTAGTTGGGGTGTTAGTAGTTGGGGTGTTAGTAGTTGGGGTGTTAGTAGTTGGGGTGTTAGTAGTTGGTGTGTTAGTAGTTGGTGCTGTTTCGGTTGAGCTGCTAGAAATATCAGCGTCAATCAGTGTATTTCGTTTCTTTCTATTACTTGCAGCTGGAACAACATTGCACCGGATAATTTCCAAACCGCTGGAGCTCAATTCTTTACAGAAGCTGTCTAGGTTCCTTCCCGAAATGCACTGTTGGAAAGTCGTGGAGGACTGATCTATAACCAAGCAAATAAAAACAGTTAATGTTTGCAAAAATAATAAATTTGTTGGTTTACTTATTAAGTAGAATTGAATAACGTGTCACTACATATTGACATAAAACAATTAAATAGCGCTTCCGGTTTTACCGAAAGTGAGATCAAGTTTTTTATTTCAAAGGAAACGCCCTGCATGGGGAAATCTAAGCAGCAAAGGTTTTTTGTTTTTGTTTGATAGCGCTAATAAATTTTCAATTTAAATTCGTTTCGTTTGTATTTGTATTTGCAGTAGCTAATCAGTGAAGAAAAAATTTGATTAATTAGAGCTGTGATGGAATTTGCGAAGATCTGTGGGTGGAAATTAAAATCTCATCATCCGTATCTATTGATATGTTGGGTTCACCCTCGGATATATACGGTGAGTTACCGATTGACTTTTTTAATTATTTGATTAATTTTGATCAATTCAATGGCGTATCTTATAACAATACAACTTTCTTGGATTTGGGGTTTAGTAACTTTAAAAATGTTACTGTGACGAGGTCTCCGGATCCTTTCGTGAGAGAAACAGTCGCACTAGAATCCTTTAAGACAAAACCAATTTTGAAAAACTTAGATATAGATATGGCAGTTATGATGTAACAAATGAAGTACTAAAGAATTTATAAAGCAGAAGTATAAACTACACCGAAGGTAGAAAAACTATAACAATCTCATTGATTAGGTCACTTTTTCTGAACTGGGGAAGAGATATAGGGCAGCGACAGCTGTGATCTATTAAAAAAACACCAACGTAAAGTCATTTTGGAGTTTTGCGATCAATAAGAGGAAAGCGGCAAACGTGCTAAAGTCTATAACGTATCAGCACTTATAGGGTAAACTTGCCCAAATCGTACCAGTTTTGAACAACTTGTTGTAGATTTCTCAAAAATGCATCAAACACTATGAAATTTTGGTTGTTAAAACTTTATTAATAGAAGAAACATTAGACATGTGTTAATACTTAAAGAAACCATGTTTTACTACTCAAAATAAAATATTTAAAAAATAATGAAAAAAGTACGATTTAAGGCATATGTCTTAACTCGTACCGCACTATTCCTAAATCGTACTTCTGATGCAATGTTGGCAAGTGTAAGAATATGTGGCTTTTCCTACACCTGCACAGTTGTCGTGCACCCATATGTTGCATTTGATGCATTGAATCATTGATTTTTCTTCATCTTTGCGGCATAAAATGCAATACCAAGTATTAGAAGTCTTTTCTATTAAAGAGCGTTTCTTTAGTTTTGTTGGTCCATCTAATTTATTTTCCAGCATATTTTTATATGGACTCGCAGTAAGGACTACGGCCTTGCTTCTTTTCTTAGATGTTTGCGGTGGAAGTCGATATATTGGTGACAAATTCTCAAGAACCGTGCGGATGGATGCGTCAGTTTGATCGTGTGCATTTGTAAAAACATTCGCTGTGGAAGGACCAGGATCCGAAAGTTGCATATCAGTTTGGGTCATTTCATTTTCTTCATCTGGTATTCTGGTATTCGATGCCTGTTGCAAGGCCACAATCCACAAGTTTCAAAACCTTTCATAGCGATGTCCATACAAACCGATCTAGGATATGCCACTCCCAAAATTTCAGATATGTTTGATTGTTTGATTGTTTCACCAGGGTGATTTCTCATCCAAACTGCACATTCTTTGTTAAAATTAGTTTTTAATGACTTAAAGAATGATCTATCCAAAGGCTGTAGTTTGTGTGTTGTGTGCGCCGGCAAAGAGAACATTACGATACCGCTAGTGACTGCTCCCACTTGATGTTTTCCTTTTAACGCTAATATTTTAGCAGGTTTATGAACTTACTTTTATCAGTAAAATTACATCTAGCACAGGAATCACTGCTTCGGAGGATCACAGCTGGTTAGCTTAGCACTAACTCAAGTAATCACCGACAGATGCCGCTGTATGTTTTATAAATTCTTAGTAATTTAGGTGGTACGATTGACGCGCAAGTACGATTTAGGCAAGTTTACCCTAACACGGACGCAGATATTTGTGATGCGTTTTCTGCTTTTTTTCACTGTTACTTTAAACTCCATTTCTGAAGAGCAGATTAGTTTCATTCAGTTAAGCCAATTGGATATCAATAAAGGCCCTGGGCCAGACACATTGCCTCCGTCATTTTTAAATATTATGCGAAGTCTCAATAAAATTCAATAAAAGTGTACTAGAAGGGCACTTCTCGACTATTTGCCAATTTAACTGTACCTGTAAGAGTAACAGTAAGAGTGCTTGAGGTAGTTATAACAAAGAATTTATTTTTTAAACTTGGGTACGTTCTTGGGGAAAGGCGCTTTAGGGGTAGGTAATAGAATCTAAATGGATGCCGTGTACACCGATTTTTCCGAGGCATTCTATACAGTATATCATCCTACAATGTCAGTAAAGCTTAAAAATTTAGGTGCACACTGCTGTCTAAAAAATTCTTCGATCATACATTATCTTTAGTATGTTGAGTTAAATGGGACGAAATCTAAATCTATTGATAATATCACGTCTAGCATATCTCAGGGATCGCACTTGGTACCTCTGCCGTTCGGTTTGTTTATAGCAGACTCGGGCAAATGTTTTCGTTTTGCAAAATTTATTTCTTATGCCGATGACCAAAAGTCGTACGAGCCTGTAAAGAGAAGAGCGATAACTGTCGCAAGTTTCAGGAGTATTTTGATAGATTTTATAACTAGTTCGTAAGAAGTCGACTCATAAATGTTGACAAATTTTACTAGCTAAACACTTTTGATTATAAATTTAATAGTAAAAGCATTAAAAAAGTGCAGCATATCAGGGATCTTGGAATAATTACGACTTTTTTGCATATTATTGTTAATAACTAAAACGCCTGATTTATTTTATGCTCCTAAATGTGGTACTAATTTGGGAGGATATAGCTTTTGCAAAGAAATTATAACAGTTACTTTTTGCACCAAAATGCTTTTGCTTTTTGACTCATTACTTTCAGCAATCAAGCAGTAAGAGCTTTTCTGTCGAACTGAATGTAATTTATTTCCACTTCTTCCTTGTTTTTTGTTTGGGTTTAGGAATATGTTCACCTACTGTTTAGAATTAATTAAAATGTAATTATTCTTAGGGTACCTTTGAAACAGTGACGTCAGCTCGTCATGTTAGGGTACCTTGTTTTAAAATAAATATATAAATTAGAGAAAACATTAAATGGACATGATGCACAAATCGCAATTTTATTGTGGTGTCTTTACGCGAAATCAGTCGTACTGTTGGAATAAGTCGCGAAAGCGCAAGAAAAGTTTTGAGAGGTTTTAAATTCTTTAAATATCAAATACACAAACCTCTTTATGAAGGTGAAACAACATGCAACTCCAAAACAGTTTAGAGTAAATCATTGTCTAGGCGTTTTAGGCGATCGTTTTATTGGAACAATTTCTTTCGAGACCTATTAAACTCTCAAATGTATCTGAAATGAATCCAAGAAAATGTTATGTCTTTTGTTGAAACATTAGCTCTTGATAGAATAGGCAATGTTTACTGTCAACAAGATGGCATTCCCGATCAAAATTCCAGGATATTGTCTAGATTTCTAGTTGAAAACCGAGGGATATGCAGTGATCACCTGACCTGACACCACTAGACCTTTTTTAACGAGGCCATATTAAAGAAACGGTGTATAAAATGTCACCCCAAAATTGGGCTGATCTTATAAATGAAATTCATAAGACCATAAGAGTATGTGTTTATTTTACTAAAATTGTTTAACTGGAAATTGTTTTTATTTTATTATTTTTTTCAGTGTTTGTTTCGTTTGTTTTTTTCTTAGGAAACAATATATACTGTAATTTTCACGACTGTATTTTAAATACGTATCTTCCAATCGGAGCAACACGATTTGAATTTACTTCGACTTTGACTATGAAAACTACTACAAAGTCCAATTTTCAAAGTAAAAGTATGTTTCCTTTAACTGTTTTCTATAACAAATATACAATTCGTGAATTTATTGGTTTAAAATTTGTTTTTTCCTTATTTAAATTGATTTCGGAAAAATGACATACTCAAATTATTAAACACTATTATCTTCAAAAGCATTAGATCTATCAAAAAAATATACGGCGTGTTTCATATAAAATAAAAAAGGAAGTTGATCTCACTTCTAGTCGATTTTAAAAAGAAAACTTCATATGAACATCTGTCCAAAACATCTTAAGTTCTGAGGTACAGAGTGATTTTAATAGCGGTAGTATCACTTTAGATATTTCAATCAAATTTGGCACACATACCACAATCTTTTTTAAATACACCTATTTTGGCAGATATTGGTGCTACGCCATTGATTTCTCTTAAAATAAAAATTAATCTGACACTCTACAATCATTTTTAAAGAAATTGAATTTCTTGATTTTTTTCAATTTGAATTAAAAAAAAAGAAGTTTCTTCAGAACTGATTGGAGATTGTAAGAATAATTTTTATTTTAAGAGAAACCAGTGGCGTACCATCCATGTCTGCCAAAATGGACAGGTGAAATTCCAGACGCTCGACACTGATAAATTTTAAAAAGTTGTGGGCAGTTATGGCAAATATTTTATGGCTCAGCACATATACGACACTAGTTGTTATTGGCACTTCTTAAATCACTGAGAAAATATTAAAACTGAAATGTTGCCAATTTTTTTCGTTATATTCATATTTATTATATAATAAAACATTTTATAACGCAAAGAGTGTATAAATAAAATGAAAGAAAATCATATTTTGTGACTCCATACTTTTATGATGCGCCCTGTATAAATATACATATTTGTATGCCTCCTGGCACATATTATTTTTACAGTAATAATGTACATTTCTAACATGCCAATTTAGAATTGTGTTGATAAACAGGCACCATTTTAAAGTCTACACTGAGTAAAAACACTGTGTTTATTAGGAATAGAGAGATCAATAAATATGCGGTAACCTAGCAAAAAACCAATAATTTTAAAATCACAACATAACTTTACTTTCATTTTAACGCTTAGAAAAATAAATAATTTTTTAAGGATATGACTGGTGTTACTATTTACAAATCTTCTGGACTCGTCCTGCGTCGATTGTCTAGATTTGGTTGAGCTCTAAAGAAGCCACGAGGATGATTAGCAAAACGTCAGCAAGTGCGATTCATCAACAACCATCGCAGAAGGAATTCAAAAGATTTCTAAATATTATTACATGAAAACTGCGTTAGTTGTGCTTTTGTGATTTTTCCCTACAAAACTACACACCTTCAATGTATTCCAAATCCAGACATCCGTAGGAGGCGTCTTCGTCCTGTTTAAAGTATGAGTTCTGGAATGGCATTGACAGTAGATGTCTGTTGCATTCCAATAGCGGCACATTTTCTTCGGAACACAGCGATCCTCTACACGTTCTGCATGAATTTGCGTAACCTAAAAAAAATTATTTCTATGAAACTTAATAAAATAATTGTAATTTAAATACATAATCGAATTTACAGAAACATGTTTTGGTTAGTTTGATTTTGCTTTTGTTTGCAAAATTTTATCAACAACGCATTTCAGTTCAATTTCATCGAAGACGCGAATGAGGACTACATTAAAAGGGCTTCAAAATGCTTCTTAGAAAAGGAATATCGTAATTTAATATCGAAATTATGAAAAGAAATAAAATATTATGGCGCCATAACTAAATCGTCTGTTTTTCTAGCGTAATGGTACAAATCAAAACCAAAACGTTAAATCAAAGAGATATCAGATATGTTTAAAAAAAAAAGTTGGTGCTTACAAACTTGCAACTTAACTTAAAAATATCACAGGTAAACCTGTTAGTGCATGTCAGTTTTTGGAAAAATGTGTTAATTATAGGTGAAAGTAAGTACAATATAGACCCGATAGCAATGGAAAAATATGGGGGCAAGTAAACCAACAAAATGCAACCCGAAAACTTAGCACCCACAGTTAAGTATGGAGACGGGCAGGTTATGGTACTTGAACATTTTGCAAGAAAATCTGCAGTTTGAATTCGACAATTAGGTTTAGGAACACAATTAATTTTTCGACAAGGTATCGATCTTGTATATCTTATCAAAACAACTGCATTCACCTCCCTATCCTCCAGATTTTGGACATCTTTGGGAAGAGCTAGCGAAGGTTATGAACATACGACATAACCAAACATAACTGAAAATTTAGTTAGTTTAGTAGAAGACTCCAGAGGTTATAGATTTAGATGGCGGGCCAATAAAACATTAATTTTTTTAATTTAAGAAAATTTTAATGTATTTTTGAAGCTTGAATTTTGTATCTTTATTAAGTAAACTTTTGCAAAAGCAAAATTGAATTTTAAAATGATGAATAGTTTGGGAGTGTATGTAGACGACTCTTGTGACTCACTGTAGCTCAGCTTAAGAAGTTACGATACTTTTTGGATATGCCTTACCTTAATATTTACACTTAACAGTAAGAATTTGAGTGCGTCAGATTTTATTCAAACATATTTGCTCAATGAAATTATCAAATTATAAATTTTTCTTTATTCCTAAATACGCGCAAATTTACTTACTTATCTTGTCACGATAAATGATAAAATCAAATTAACAATTATCGTTATTACATAGAAATATACAGACAGTGTTGGAGATTTTAAGTAAGCCGAACTTTTTTGTGAAAAAGCGGTGTTGCTGTAGCTCAATAATTAAAAGAAATAAAACGTTGGAATTATGAGACTTTACTAAATTGGTATGCGCAATTTATGATCCAGACGAATTAGTATTTGGGTCACTTGTAATTCACACGTTGCCATCAAATAGGCATTTGTTTGTTAATAGTTAATATATGCAAAAAAACGCTTTTTTGACTAAACTAACTGATAATAAACAATAGCAGAACCTCCTGAATAACCTTGATACCTCAGGGAAAGAAGTCTCTCGGGCTATAACAGAAGTCCGGAAAATTTCAAGTAACAATATTTAATATTCCTTGCACAATTAATTTGTTAACAACTTTTTTTTAATTGGTATTCTAGTAATATCAGAAATATATTTTTCAAAACAGGAACAATGTAAAACAAGCAAGAAGCTTTTTTAACTCTTGAATAGAATTAATATATCGTTATAAACCCAGTATTCAACTGAAAAAAAAAAAGATAACCACAATTAACGCGTGAAACAACCTTTTCCTAACTTGTAGGCTTTTTCGAAAAAAAGTTCATACAGAAGTTGTACGCCTTGAAAATGTCTACAAAACGAGTTGTGTTCTGAGTTATGGCAAAAAACGGTCTAAACTTTTTTAATTAATGATTAAGAATAGCAGAACATATTGAATAAGCTTCATAACCCAGCAAAAGGAGCTTCTTAAATCATTAAAGATGTCCTGAACATTTTAAGTAACGATATTCAATATCTTTTGCACAAATAATTTGTTAACAACTTATTTGGTAGTCGTTTTTGGAACTTTTTTATTCTCATTAATCCATATTTTTTGACAAACCTCCTATACTACTGAAAAAAATGGACAATTATAACTAAAATGTGAAAGAACATTTTTCTTTACTTTAAGGTTTTTTCGAAGAAAATTTTAATACAAAATTAACTGTAGTTTCATTTTTGGTCAAAAAATTACCGCCTAAAGTGACTGCTTTTCTTAGCAGCGAACGACGCCTGTTGGGCTGTAACAGAAATAGTGAAAATTTCAAGTGACGATATACAATATTTTTTACACAATTAATTTCGTATATCTCGTATAGAATAAGTTTTTTCCAAATAATAATAAAAAAGTTACCCAAAATCATTGAGGCACGGTGTATTTACCTTACTTTGGAAGTTTCGATTATGTATACACGCTAATAGTAGAGACCGATTTAAACTTACGTGGCTCACCGTCCCTAACTTAAGTAAGCTGAGCGTAATGCGCAAAAATAAGATTTTGACATCTTCCAACTCTCATTCTCTGAGTTTCCGCGACTAAAAAAACTAGCTTAACGGTATATCCTTACTTTGGGCTACGAAAGCAACGAGCACTATCACCAACGTTCCAAAAAGAGCTTTCATTTTGGTTTCGTTTCCCGCACAAGAGGAAGATCGAATCTGGCAGGTATATCGCCCAAGTGTGATATTTATGTGGAAACGCGATCGTGTGTAAAAAAATACGATAAGCCGTGAAGTGATCTCTTTCAGATAAAACGCGTGAGTCAGTTTTACGCAATCTCGTTTTTTTTGTTCAAAAATTTATCGATCCAAAACGTTAACTGGAGAGCGCCTAGTGAGTTTACCACGCCCTTTATATCCTGTAGCGGAATATCATGGCCCTTCTCTTGGTAAGGTGATATTTCCATTTCCAAAACATTTTTAATGTACGGCCGCTAACATCCTTACTTTAAATGGAACACCAATGAAACTTCATTTTTGGAGAAAATTTGATGGTAGGTTCCTTCAGAAGTGGTGCTATGTTTGACTATAATCCGTTTTACATAACAATCCTATGGGATTTAATTACCCATGATATGGCGAAAGGCGAAGTACTGTTATTGTTCGTTTTGGTTGATTTATTTATTTAAGCTCCTGTGTCAGCATATCTTCCTGAAATTTTTTGTTTCGAGTTTTTTCGTAAATAAATAAAAAATAAGGTCTTTACTAATAAATCACCAAATTACAAAGAATTTTTTTGCATAGCCTCATTGTAACTCTATACACTCAGCACTTTTCTCCGCAAAATAATGGTTCACGAAAGTGATTGCCTCTTCATTCGATTGGAGCTAGATCTGGTGAGTAAGGCGGATGGTCAAGCAGTTCAATCCGTGATTCGTGGATTCTCGCCGTCGCCATGGACTTTCTGCAATTTCTGTCCTCAGCTTGTCAAGTATTGACGAGTAGAGTTCCTGTATGGATTTTGCTTTTCGAAGGCAATCGATTAAGATAACTCCACAGCAAAACCAAAAAACAGTCGCCACCAATTTCCCAGTCGAAAAAACAGTTTTTGCAGTTCACTGTTTCGACTGTATTTTTGATTCGAGCGTATAATCGTTTTTCTCATCTCATCTTGATTTAAAATGTGACATTTTCATAACCTCTGTTATCTCTATCACTTTAATTTGATTGTCTTTTAACACTATTACACTATTAACACTAGTTACAGTTTTTGGATGTTACGAACGTTCATCATCTCTTAAGCTCTTAACGTTTAAATTCAAAGGCGCAATTTCACTCTGGTAAATGGTGGTCCAGAGTTCCCATACACAGAGTCAAACTCAACTTTACTTTGCGTAAGCGTATTGTCTTTCAAAAACATATATTTTGTAACAGCTCCATACTTATTTTTTTCCATTTTCACGACTCACTCTAAATGGTTGAAACTATGGTAAGTAACTATCGCTATATTTTAGTTACTAAAGCCGCCATCTTCAGGTTGAGGTGTGAAACTTTTCAAATGACCCTCGTACAAACAAAGAAACTAAAATTTCGTTTCAATAATCTTTCGACACTAGTCAGTGGTTAATATTATGAACATCTGCTCTGTAGCGAATATTTCTATGGAGATATTCTAAAGTTTTTAAATGAACTGTATCATGAAAAAAGTAAGCAGAGTGCAGGTATCTTCTATTGCACATATTGAGTCAATAGCCTAAGACAAGAATTTTGTAACTTTTATATTCGTTTTGCATCTTCGGTTTCTAAGCGTGGAACATCGATAGTCTTGTAAGAACTGACTTGCTGACTACTGAACACATTGATTGATTATTAATTTGTATGCTATGTTTATATGGATTAACGATTTACTTTATTTGGAGCCAGTGATTTTCGGAAAATAAGTTTTGCAAGTCGTTATTAACCTAACCTTGTTCTGAGTCTGAGGGGTAAAAAGATATGTAAGATTGTGTGTCATCTGCATAAAAGTAGTGATTACAGGAGATGAAAAAAGGCTGATATAAATCGAGTAAAATGAACTATGCGATTCATTTAAATTCACACATTGACGATAATTTTGATATTTTACATTATCATTCAAAAAGCAAAGAACTAAATTCGGAAGCTATGGAGATTAACAAAATGAGATATTCGAATTTATTACTTAATGACCCATTGGACCGTTCCGTTGTTAAATTTAAATTTGCAATCCTATAGCTGTTATTAAAAATCTACTAATACTTGTTATTGTATATAAGTGTCGGAATATGATCATATTTTGTATTTGATAAAGGCACGGTGTTGCCGAAACAGCTGCCATTAAGTATTAAAAACATTGAAAATCTGAACTTTTTTTTTTCTTTTAATTTGTGTAAAAGGCCTAAAATTTATCCCTGGACCGAAAGAGCTGAACTTTTATCTTTATAAAACACTGACTGTTTCTTGTTGCAGACATCTCTAGCATTCGGTGACAAAAATGAGTAGTCAAATATAATTATCAAAATTAATATATTTCTGTGTTCGATAGTTTTAAAAATATCGTCCGTTACTTTTGATAGCGCTGCTTTTGAAAACTGAATTTTCATAGATTTTTCTAATATTTTCTCTCTGATTAAAATTTGCCGTATTATTATTTTTAGGTATACCGCTACCTATTTTATATTATTTCTTCCAATTAGATGGAAACGTAGAGTTTTTAATAAGTAGTTTATTGTGTGGGATATCCATGGTAACAGAAATGGTAAACATAGATTCAATGTTAAAATATCGTCCATTCCTAGTGGCTTGCTCTGGCTAAATTGTTTTTGTAAAATTGTATTAAGCCGAATTTATAAAATTGTTGTTGGTTTGGGTGATTTTTTATTTTTTAAAAGTTTTGCCTAATTTATTTAGTAAAGTATGCTTTTTATTTATGTTACATATCATAATTAATTTGGTTTTTAAGTCGTTTGTAATTAGCCCAGTCTGACGGGAGTTTACATTTTTTGTATTTTTTGAAATAACTATCCCTATCCTTCATAATTGTTCTTTCTCTTCAGGATTTTTGATATTGTAGATGTTGCAAATTGATCAATACTAGTTTCTTTAAAACTAATAACTTTGGGTAACAATAGAATTTCAGAATAATTAACAGGTGATCTTGCAATTTAACGAACGTAATGAAAATTAATTTTCTTAAAAGTTTTCCACAGTTTCTACTACCCACTTGTTGGATACTAAACTTTTTCTTCGACCACTAAACTATAAGGACTCAATTAAAAGAGGCAAATTTATGAGAATATGGAGAATTGGTGGGAAATTGCGTCACATTTTTGAATATCTTGAATTCAATTCTTTTATTTTTCCTTTTCTCATTTTAGAAATATTAATTTTTGAGACATCGACTTCAATTGAATATTTATAGTTTTGTGAAAAACATTGGTAACTTTGTTATGAGTAGCTGGCAAACTAGTATTATTTTTTCTACTGATGGTAATGGTGGAAATAGAAAAACAAATGAATGTTAGGTTTAGGAAAATGACGAAAATGTACTGTTCTTAAATCGAACACTCTGTATATTTTTTACTTTAACGTTCGTCTAAAATTGAAAAGAACCGAAATATCAACACATTTTGCTTTCAGACACAGATGGCTGTGAGTGGTTGCGAAATAAATAAAAAAAATGTTAATGAAGGTTGTGCAAAATAATCATTAGTATTGTCATACCAATTGTTTTCAATTATTTAAATTAATTTTACTGCATCACTTATTCAAAAATAGTTCTTAAACCTGATGAAAAGTGCCATATGCTATTGACGTACAGTATATCGTCTGTGAGGGCAAGAGAACGATACAATCCGTAGCAATTTAACATTTTTTTCTGCGCCTTTATCGGACCTTTAGAAATAATGACACCATTTTTGCAAAAAGAAAGAGACCATAATTGTATTCGTGACATAGTCAAAGGCTCTAAACTTCTCCTTTAATACCGTCCAAAGGATTTTAAAAAACACAAATTTTGTCCTTATTAAATTCCGACCAGCTCAGATTCTTTTGCCAGGAGATGATTGGTTTTCTCGCCAAAACAAAATCTTTTCGGTATATTTTGTAGAGTGACGAATCAAAATTTTCGAATTCTGAAAATTATATTAAAAAAATTATCATTATTAGTCAAGAGAAAATTTATTGATAGTACATCCCAGACATCCAAAAATTCGTTTCAGCTTTAGCGTTTGGCGTGGTATAATTGATTCTCGCATTATTAGTTTTGCTACGGCACGATGACCGGTTTGCGGTACATTGCAATTATACTGAAATTCTCCTCATAAGTAGGCAGAATGTCAATTTCCAACAAGATGGCGCATCAGCTCATAACCATTTTCAAGAAAAGATACCAACACTTTGCCGTTTTATGAGAATAAATAAACCAGATAGATAGTATAACAAATACTAAAGGCAATTCACTCTATAGAAAAACACACCTGAACAACTCTTAAAATAACTTTAATAGTTGATAAAAATTAATTGCGTTTTTTAGTTTCTTTTCTCTATTTTTTTATTTTCACGTTTCTTACTCTCAAATAAAAAAAAATATGGAGTATTATTTTGCAACCAATCATAGCCATCTAGTCTAACAGAGAAACGTGCTGACAATTTGGTTGTTTTCAATTTTAGGCTAAAATTGCATATGACCAATTTCAATTGTTTTGCTGTTTTTACCATCGTAATCAGTGGAAAAAATGCTACTAGTTTGATAATTTAACCAACTTTGCATCTCTACTCATGGCAAAGTTGTCAATGATAAACACTTAATTTAGATCAGTCTGTATATTTAAAAGTATAGAGGATCTTATGTGGGACACTCTTTGAACTTCAATGCTGCATTTTAATGTAAACATTAACGTAGAAATACGTGCAGCTATAAATTTCCGATGTCCTTTTAACCGCGTCTGTAAATGAATTTCCTTTGCGGCAATCCTTCATTATCGCGGAACAAATCTGTAGAATAAGTGACCCATTTGAATTTCAACTCATTTACTAACTCGCCGGTCGTTTGTGGAAAATAACAAATGAAAGAGGTTTATTAGGTACCGTTAGGACCACAATGGCAGCGAAAATAGCGGATATTTTTGTTTCCCTTTAATCACGATAAAGTAATAGAAGGCAATTGGTTTGTTGCTCACAAATAACAGGTGAACAAGGCGTAAGCTTAATTCTACGATAAATAG